CTCTATGCTTTTCCACTGACTGTTCATTACTGTGTCAATATCATGTCATTTTATAGTCATTTTTTAAATCTATTTTGGAAAGGTCACTTTCACTATTTTTGTTTTACAAGTATGTCTTCTTCCATAGGAACTAAAAAGTTATTTTGTAAAGTTCCAGAATAATCTCATTGGGGTTGGAGGTTGTCACTACATTACATTCATAATGTAGGAAGGATTTAGTTCTTGGAATTTGAAAGTTTTTAATAGATCTCTTTTATCAAGTCTTGTTCTTGAACTTTTAATAAAGTTTTATAGTTTCTTTATATAGATACTATACTTTTCACATTATATTTATAACCAAATATAATTCAATCAAGTTTTTACCATTTCTGTTTCTAATTAGCCTCTTATAAAGGAAAAAACTGGCTTTTATATATTTATGTTATATAAAACCATCTTACCAAATTTTTTATTAGTAATAGCTTTTTTGATAGTACAATGTCAGCTTTCTTAGGTATGCAACCATGTAATCTTCAAACAAAGATTTTCAAATTTCCTCATTTCTGCTTTTTAAGTTACATATTTAGTTTTCTTATTGTATTACTTAGAACCTCTATAGTGTGTTGAATTACAATAATATTGGTATCCATAACCTTTTTTTAGTTCCTTGTTTTCGTAAGAATGATTTAAGATTTCACTACTAAATATGATGCTTGTAATATGATTTTGGCAAATAGTCTCTTTCATGGTTAGCATTTTTTTCTTTTCATATTTTACTGGGAGTTTTGCTGCTGAATCTTAGTAAGTACTTATTTATTATATATTTAAATAAATATAATTTGTACCATTTAATTTGGCATAAAAATTATATTAGACATGTTAATGATGATCCATCCTTGGATCTCAAATTATTCTGATTTGGTCATAAGTATAGCTTGTAATTCTTTTAGTATATTTTAAGATTTAATTTTCTAAAATGTATTTTAATTATAAGTTTTGCATCTGCATTGATTTGTGATTTTAGTTTATAATTTCCTTTTTTGTTAGTTCAGGGTTTTGTGTGTAGACTATGCTGGCTTCTTAAAAATGAACTTGCTATAGTATATAATTATTAGACTGACATAGAATTTATGTGTTCTTTGATTAGTAAGTAAAACTACAAGTGTAAAACCATCTGGGCGTGGTGATTTTTTAGAGAGTAGACTTCCAGTTTAGTTCATGTTTGATCAGATCAATTTTCTCATCTACCCTATATCAATTTTGAAAATTTACATTTTCCCAAGAAATCACTCATTTTCTTAAAATTTTCAAATGTATTGTCACTGAATGTGACACAAATTTATTTTCTTTATGTTTTAGTCACATTTGCCAAAGATTTGCCTATTTTATTATCTATTCTAAGGAATCAGCTCTTGCTTTTACTTATTCTTCTTTCACTTTTTTCGTCGTTGTTTTTAAAAATACTGGCTTTTTAGCTTCATAGCAAGACTATGGTACGGTAAATGAGGCACTCTCATTGGGCACAGAATTTAAGGAAGTGCCTAAAAACTCAGTTGTCAAGAAGTTCTATTTTAATGCAATACTTTTAAAAAATCAAGCTTAATGTCCCCAAAACATCCCTGATGGATTAAAATTTTCAGTAAAGACCAGATGTGTATTACTGATTTTTCCTTTTGCTTTGGTTCCAACATGGCTTAGCATAGCACTGCTCCTGCTCCTTAGTTCATTTATTTTCAGGCTTAAAAAAAAACAACAAAACCTTTCAAGTGTAGAATTTGCAGACCAGTCTACATCCTCTGTGACTAGGAAACTTCTCCTCAGTAATCTTTGGTGAAATCTGTTATCTTTCTTTTGGTGAGTACTTACAAAGAATCTTTTTCATATAAAGCACTACCAGTGATAGATACAAAGATGGCCCTAAAAGTTTACATTCTAGAAACAAAAAATATATACAAATGTGAAAAGTTTAGTTGACATTAGAGAGGGAAAAATTAAAGGAAAACATTATCTGGCAGATAATATCAGACTTACAGTTTTATTGCTCTTGGAATAACTCCTAAAATCCACCAGGTGATGGAATAAAATAAATTAACAGTGTCATTTAGCTTACATATTTTTCTAGTTGGAGATTTAATTTTACAGAGAAAGCCATAATTACATATCCACATATTTTAGCTTATTTATGAATTTTCTATTATATCTTTAATTTTTACAAAGCAGAATGTACATGTTGAAAAATTAAACATTTTTAGCCATTTGATATCCTTCTCAAGCAAGGCACTGTATAAACAAACAAAAAGAGGTCTGGTTTAAAATAGGTCCAAGAATATAATTTAAAACAAAAGAAAAAAGCCAGAGGCAAACTCCCCTAAAAGATGATTATCTTAAGCCTGCAAATTTTAGTCAAAGAATGAGGTACTAATATGAGGCATCTTAGCTAAAATGATTACTGTCCAAAAGGTTAAGATGCTGGATTCTCTTTCATATAGTTCTTGTGTGACCTACTTTTCTCCTATCCAGAGACTTTTCAAATCAGATAAATTGATCTGAATGTCTGTATAATTCACTTTTCATGTATATCTTTATTCATTATTAATCTGACAGCAATCTTGTGTGTATTAAAACACATAAAAATGATATTTAATATGAATTCAAATTTAGGTTCAAATGACTTGCCTTAAGTCATAAAATTAATCAGTAGTCAAACTGTCATGAGATCTGGAGTTCCTCTAAGTCCTGCTTTTCATCATGCTCTGCTATCTAACAATGTCATCAGATGATGAAGATGAATTTAGACAGCCGGTTAGCAAACTATGTTGACATTATCAGGAACTGCGGAATGCTAAAAAAAAAATAAAAGATTGAATGACTGTACCTGAGGAATTTACAATCTAATGAGATTGACACTATAGGAATAATTATACTTTACCACTAATAAAAATATATATTACCAAAAATCGTTTAAACAAATATAACCATATATTATAGATCAACACTATCCTAAACAAAAACTGGGTGAATTTAATTCAATTTGCAATTAGATACAGCATACTGAAATACTTTTTTCCTAATGATTTTATAATCTAATGATATGACCTAGTTTAGATTAATTGGCCCACCCTAGCTTACAAAAAAAGTGGCTCATAATGTAGCATATTTTATTTCTAAATTAGATTTTCAAAGATAAAAATGTAGCATAATAACTTAATATTAAATTGCAGACATTAAGCCAATTACCATTACCAATAAGTGGTAGGTTTGAGATTTTTCTACTCTTGAAAAAGAAAAAGGATTTGGTGTGTTATCTGGTAAACTACAGCAAGGCAGTTTTTTGCTGCCCTTAGATGGAATTGCATGGAAGCCTCAATAACTATTTGTTTAACTGAAAACCATTTGCCCTCTTGCCTCCTAAAATCTCACAATTTTTTATTTTTGCGTAGCTGCTGCTCTCTTTCCTCTGTTTCCCAGTCTCCTCTTCTGTCTCCCCTTTACAGCTCTTCCCTTTATGCCCTGACTGTGAGCAGTCTTATCCATTCTCACGGTTCAGTTGACTCTTAAACCAATGTTTCTAAACTTGACCTTTATGATTCAACATTTCTAACTAACTCTACACATTCCTTCCTCACTATTAGTATTCCACCTTAAACTCAGCCACTGAAATCAAACTCATCAACTTGCTATTTAAAAACTAGCATCATCTTCTAACACTGTATTTCTATCAGTATAAAAAGGACGACATGTACAGTTGTGCAGGTGGTGCTCTGAACAAAAGCACTTGGCTGAGGAGTGAGTAAGGACTAAAACTAGACTCTATTCACAGGCAATATACTTGGGCACAGGGCTGTATCAGCCTTAGGGAAATCTTTTTAGCACTTCCTCCACCTAAAGAGAATACTATTGTCTGACTCACACAAAGGTGACATATGTATTATTAGAATTGCCATCACTTTCTCCAAGTCACCTATTTCAGAAACAGAATCTCCATTCTTTCTCCCCTCTTTTAGGCCCCCATGGTATGATGACATTCACCACTTTCTTATCATCCACAGGGTCAAGGAGACCAGAGCAGTCCAATGCTTCATCCCTACACTGTTTTAACGATCTCTTTAACTCTTCCTCTGCTCCTTTCTTTCCTTCACCTTGCAGTAGATTACCCTTTCTTAAAACACAGCTTTGTCTTGTTATTTACCTGTTCAGAACCTTCATGGTTCTGAGCACTATTGTCTGTGTTACTAGAAACAAACTTCTCAGACTACTGTTCTTCAACCAGCCAGGTTCTAAAATATTTATGATGCACGATGTCCTGTACCTTGTGAGCACCCAATACATAATTGCTAAATCATTAAATTTAAGATCTTCCACCATACGTTCCCAATGCCCACTTCCACCTAAGTCCACCTAGTCCCTCTCATATACCCTAAGTACCATTGTGAATGCTGATGTTTACGGAACTTGTTCCTAACTATCCTGTCTTCATAACCTTGGTGTTGCTGGTTTATTCACATTGGGCATTGGCCACACCCAGCCCTGCAAAGCCTGTTGAGCTCCTCTCTGTAGAATTTCCTTGTCTTGTGCCTATACTTGTCCCTTCTTTTAGACTGAATGCCGCATTTATTATAGCTTACTTGTGTTCTTTTCTTCTTGTAACAGCACCCTAGGTTTGTTCCTCTCACTAGATGTTAAGCTACTTGAGGTTAGCACATCTTTCTTGTTTGTATTTGCCTCCTCATGAGTCCCGGATTCAATGAGGAACGTGTAGATAATAAACGTTTGTGGAATTGAAAACTGTCACCCAGTTGTGCATATGCCCCAAAGACAGATTGACTAGCCATTTGACTTTTCAGGTGAAAGGTGCCATTGCATAAATATGGAAAAGAAAAAATATCATCTCGACGATTGTCATTTTTAAATGTCTTTTTCTGACAGCAACTAGACTATAAGAAGAACAAATTTTGATATTATGGGGTATAATATATCAAACGTACAATTGAAATAACTCACTCTGCATTGTGTTTTTGTAGAGAGACACTGAATTCCAGGAGCATGAACAGATTCTGTCTCCGGATTTTCTGTCAGTTGCCCAAATCAATGATTTGTTAACCGAGGACATCGATGGAGTTCAAGAGTAAGCAAGTCACTGTTACAATCGCATATAGGAGAACAGTTCTAGTTTTGCAGCTATAAATGATTGTGATTACATAGTTATGCTTTTTTCAAAATATTTGTTATAATATTATGCTCTGAAATATATCTGGACTCCAAAACACAAAAATTCTCAAAGAACTTTTTACACTACGCAATAGTCTCCTTCATGAAGAAAATACCTTGTAAACCAACTTACTAATATTTACCAAGAGCAGAGGTTTGTTGGTAAAAGCAGGCTCTAGCATATGCCATCTTCTACTTTTCTTCTCTTTCATTCATAAAACTGTCAATATGCACATTAACCTAAAGGATGTTCTCCTTCATTGTGAGAAGAGTAAGTTGTGTTTTCTGTAATGAAAATGGAAAATGCATTTTGTTATATTGGAAATCTTGAATACTAGCCATCCATCTGTGATTTTATTATCAGGCATAATACTATACTAAGTACTCTGATTGCATACATGTTACTTAAAAATGTGATTACAGTGGAATTTACAGGCAGTGATTCTAATATATATACATCTCACTCTTTAGCCCATTTACTTCTACAGTAGATCATCTATTTAGAACTTTTTCAGATACATCCAACAACATAATATCCTAAATGTTGTTTTTAGTAATCACCCTTTAAAAAATGATCTCACTTTAGAATGGAAGCCTAATTGGCCATAATGTATGGAGAGTGGGGATGACGTCATGCACTAGACTGTACCATCCTGGTATCAGGTCTCTGAAGGCCAGTCCTTGGGACACGAGCAGGGTGTCGTGGACTGTAACAGACGAATAGAAAATGACTCTGTCAGTGGTTATCACTGACAAATTTTATAAATGTATAGAATAAACATGACTTGCTACTGAGAAGGGAATATGACAGATGTCCTGGCTGGAAGAAAAATCTGAGAAGGGAAGGCTTATCAAGAGCAGGTGAATAACACTGACAGGCCTTTTACTGAGCTGCTCAGCTCCAGCACTGGCAATCTCTGCTAGAAATTGATGATCTGTGATCGGCCATACTGCTTACTATCTGCACCTCTACAAGTATTAGTGAATTTAAAATTACACAGATTTTAAACAAGTATCTCCTGATGATTTTACCACTTTAATAGAAATTAATGTTTGTTAGCAATTCTGATTCATAGTGTAAGAATGGACCCGTAAAATGCATGTATCATTAATACCACTGATCATGTCTTCACATAGAATGTTATTTTCCATTTCCAGGTACCCCCAAATGTCATTGATCATTGCAATGTGAAACACTAGGTATTTCATACTAGGCAAAATAGTACAATGCAGATAGCAGACATTTTATACAGTTCATCATTTGTTTATATTAAATGTCAAGTAAAAGATGTTATATTAAGTACAATTAATGTTAAATAAAAAGTGTGGCAAACAAATGCTTTTTAAAATTAGTTCTTCCCACATTGTAAGTTGTGCCATGTATTATACTTTGTGTGACAAGAATTTTTTAAATTATTGGCTCTCTTTGTTGTTAAATATCTAAATGCTGAGCGTATATTTAATCTTTAGTTGGTAAGGCCTAGGATGCAGTAAGTGATACAGAAGGTGATGCAGAAGTTAGCAATATAAAAGCATCCAGGTTCAATAGCACATTGACCTTTTTAGACTGTCTCATTAATGTAGAAATCACCTGAAGTGATCTCAAATTTTAAGACATCATCTTTGGATAAATAACATCAGTATTATATTAGGAGCCATTTCTTTGTAAAACAATTTTCTTGAGATTCTTTACATGATTTGGTAATGGTAATCCTGAAATATTTGAAATCAGTCACTCACTTTCCATTTAAAATAGCATTATTATAAATGGGGGTTATATGCTTTTCAAAATGACAGAAATACAGTTTAAGTATCCTATCACCAAGTGATAGGAGTATGTGAAAATCACAGAGTCTACAAAGTTATAAGCCTATTAAAGTTAGAAATCGGCACATTTCCCTACCTCTTAAAATTAAAAATTGCTCTCCATGAAAGCAGCCAACCAAATGAAACATTAAAGTGTCATTAAAACATATTTCTGAAATTCACTTTAAGCAGTTAAATGTCTGGGTACATTTCTCATGATCGCTTAGCTGCTATCAATCATAAATATTTTAATGTAACCTTGACTTTATTTATAGATCCATATCAACTTTTTTAAAAAAGAAAAGTAACTATATAAACACAAAAATAACACTGAGACATCTTTAATAATCTTTCAGTAGCTGGGCCTCCATGAACTACTTAGCTCTTGCCTTGAGGCTTATTTCTGCATGTCATATTTAAGAAGTAAAATGCACCCCATTGTCAAGAGCATGAAAGAATATGGTAACATTTTTACCCAAATTCTTGGTGAGGCAAAACAGATAGGTATATCACCTATCACCACAACACAAAACTTTCTAAAACACAATGAATCATCTTTCTCTTTCCCTACATTCTGTCATGCTACAGCTGTGGCCATCTCTTCCCTCTCCCCTGTTCCATCTCCTCTTACAGAGAAAAAGTTTACATATTTGCCAGTAAAATACTGGAAACTTTGCATTCAAACCATAGCAGTTTCTTGCTCCAGTTGCCTCCCTACATAATCTCCTTTGGAGTGAAATGACTGAGGAAAGAAAGGAAATGGTAAATCCTTAGCCCTGTGGGTCAAGTTAAAAGCGAAGAGACAAATTGTATTAGGGAAAATGGTAAAGGGGATGTGGAGGACAGCAAAGCTGAAAGAAGTCACAGAGATTTCACCAAAATATTCTTTGGCAAGTAGTTACTGTCATTCAAACACAACTAAACATTGAAAAGTAAAAATAAAAAGCAAAGAACATATGTAAATATTCAGGACAAATATTTAATTTAAAATACGTAGTGTGCAGATGGCAGATGATGAGTATACTTAGAAGAAAAACTAATTGCTAGAAACAGAAGAAAATGTTGGGTTAAAGCTAATAATTAAAGAGGACATCAAATTCACAGAACAAGAGACCGAAAAAAATGGTAAAAAAAATATAAAGAAGAAGCCTTTAGAACCAAGGCAAGGAACTAACGCTAAGAGTAAAACCAATGTAGAACTTGCCTTGCTGAAAATCAAGTCAGTAATATGGAAGACAAAGTTAAGAGAACTTACATAAAGTGTAGATAAAGCAGTTATTTGAAGGTACTAGAATATACCTTCAACCTTCAACATAGTGAATCAGAAAAAAGAAGCTATACTTCATAAAAGCTTTGATTTTAATATTTTAGTAGAATAAAATCTCATGTATTGCCTTTTTCCTGGGATAAATTTAAAGCAAGTCACCTAGAGAGGAAAATAACAGGCTTTGGACTTTTCCTTAGCAAGATTTGTCTCCAAAATTCAGTAGTGTGACAAGTAGCCAAAATTTAGGAAGTCAAGAGAATCTGATTGCAAAATAAAATACTATTTGTGTCTTTTGTTTAGTTATAATGGCAACACGACATTGCAATATATAGAACAACTCAGAAAATGCAATATTCGTGTGGTCCAATTGAAAAATTTACCTCATAACCCAGCTGAAAGATAAATCAGTTCATTGGTGAATGTTAAACAACAAAACCTGCCAATGAGAAATTGTGATATAAGAAGTCTGGCAGTAACTGTGGACCATTTAAAATTAAAATAAAATATAATATCATAATAATAGACTAAAACAATATTCTAGAACATGTCAACAAAAATAGGCAAGCACATGAGAAAAAAAAATTGAATTTCCTTTTCTCACCAAAAATAAAATTGAATTGAAGCAGATGACCCCTATTTATAGTAATGCTATTTTAAATTGAGAGTCAGTGAGTGCAGATACTTCAGGATTACTGTTACAAAAATCATGTAATCACAAGAAAATTGCTTTAAAAAATGACTCATAACAAAATGCTTTTAAAAACTTGTATCATAGATGTAAAGGGTTAATGTCCTTAAGTTTGCAAAATATCTTTGATAAATCTATAAGAAAAAGTAACCCATAGAGGACATTAAAAAGAAATCCAATGAATAAGCAAAGACATATATAAGATAGTAATTTTTTCTGTTAGATTGAATAAGGAATGCTAATGAATAAGCAAAGACATATATAACATAGTAATTTTTTCTGTTAGATTGATAGATATTAAGATTATGGACAAAATCCAAACTAGATTGGAGTATAAAGAAGCGGACATTCCTGTGTGGTGTTGATGAAAGACTTATTTGGCACTTCCCTTTCTGGAGGGAAGTTTAGCAGCATATCTCACCATGGTCAGTATAACTCAGCAGTCCCAATTTTGGGAATTTATTGCAAAAGATAATTGGAGTTTTGGAAAGATCTTTTTGTTGGAGTCTTGCTCTGTTGCCCAAGCTGGAGTGCAGTGGTGCGATCTTGGCTCACTGCAACCTCTGCCTCCCGGGTTCAAGTGATCCTCCTGTCTCAGCCTCCTGAGTAGCTGGGATTACAGGCACCTGCCACCATGCCTGGCTAATTTTTGTATTTTTTAGTAGAGATGGGGTTTCACCATGTTGGTCAGGCTGGTCTCAAACTCCTGACCTTATGATCTACCCACTCTGGTCTCCCAGTGTGCTGGGATTACAGGCGTGAGCCACCGGGCCAGGCTGGAAAGATCTTAATTAATCATTTCTCTTTACTCTAGGTTCTTAACCAATGGAGGACATCAAAGCCCATTTGGGAAGTCTGATCTATTATTAACTGCATTTAGGTCTCTATCCTACCGATCAGACTAAAGAATGGAGGGGCTTCCTACTTCTCCTTCCTTGCTGAATACTAATCGTTTTTCAGTTATGTTCATTACAGTTTTTCCACAGTCTGCAGCTTGTCTTTTCAATGTAATTTGTCTCTGATTCTCCAGAAGTGTTTTGTCTGTTTAACAAAGACCAATTTATTAGTCTTTTTCTTTATGGCTTGTATTTTTTGGTGTCACTTTTAAGAAATTTTGGCCTATCCAAATGTCAGAATTTTTTTTTATTTAAAGTTTGTAATGTTTGCTATTGACATTTAAATCTTTAACCAACCTGGATTTTATTTTAATGTATTACGTGGGTTGGTATTTATTTTATTTTCCATTTGGATAACCAATTCTCCCAGCACCATTTTTGAAGAATTTATACTTCCTCTACTGATTTGAAATACTACCTTTGCCATTTACCAGGCTCCTGTGTATATAGGGTCTGTTTCTGGGCTTTCTACATGTTCCACTGGCCTACTTATTTATCCCATAACAATACCACAAGTTTTCATTAATGTAGAAGTTTTCTTACTGACTTTCACTTAAGAGTAAATGACACTGTACATTAAACATTGAGAAATAAATCTTGCCAAATGATGTCCAGTGCAAATTAAAGATGCCTGGCTAATAAAGGAAAACCCTATCACCACCACCATCAGGACGTCTATATCTGCCAGTTGAGTTGAATGCTTGAAAAAATGTATCAAAATGTGTAGTGACATACAACATGAAAAACTGACCATATTGACCTAAAAATTAAAAATATATATAGTTCTCACATATACATATATATACATGTATGTATTATACGGCATAACAGGAAACTCAGAAATAGATTAACTTCAAGGTTAATTGAGTCAATGTCTAAATAGTGTCATCAAGAAATGAGGCTAATCTTAGGACCCATTTTCTTAAGGTTACAAGATAACTTGGCAGTAGCAACTAGAGCCACTTGTTTGCTCTTTTATTTTTATCCAACAGAAAAAAGAACTTTATCCTCTGTTATTAATTATTTAGAATTATTTAGGAGCATGCCCGTCATAGAACAATAATTATTTTTGAGACATGCCATATACTAAATGACATTATGGCAAGGGGATGAAATTAACATGATTGCCTTGGAATAATCCTAACTCTTTTGGGTTTGAGGTCTATCCTGATACCACTGTAGATGAAATGTTGAAGAAATAGACACATATCGACATCAGATTTATTTGCTCCCAAACTTGTTTAATCCTGCTATATTTATTAATCTGGTTATATCATTTATTTTGATGTAAAGAATAATAAGGCCTTGCATTTTTGAAGATGGCAGTAAAAAGTTGTCACACACCTATTACCCCTCTCAGAAATCACATAAAAACAGCAAGGAAATACCACTTTCGTCTTTGTCAAAACCAAGAGAATGCTAGTGGTCCAAATAACAAGAAGAAAGATGATGGCCACAGTCATGATAGATCAACCAGAATGCAGGAGAAGATATAAAGAAGGATGCCCATAGTCAGAGAGCTTAGAATGAGCTAATTTATATCTATCTATATCTATATCTATATCTATATCTATATCTATATCTATATATCTATATCTATAATCTGCTTACTCTCCCGGGAGGAGAAACCCTTAAGTGCCATTCCAGGAACCCTGGTCTGCAATAGCAGGACCAGGTGTGTAGGTTTGAAGCAGATCCTTTCTGTATCACAGGAAATTGACTGTTTATATTATAATAAAGAGAGTCTATCCATTCTTTTCTTTATTTTTCCTTACTAATTAAAAATAAATAATAAATGCTAGAAAGTTACTTCATACAGAAAATACCTACTAGTTTGTAATATGACCACGTCTTCACCTCCAGTGTATTTCCTGAAAGTAGCTATTAAGGACAAAAGCTCACTTCATACAAAGATAAGGTATAAACAAAGGATATGCATTCTAAGACACGGCAAGAAAAAAAAAATAGAAGAGGAGAGGGAAAGAGAAATAGCAAATAAAATACATCAGAAAGATATAACCATGAGCAGACCAAAAAAATATGTGTTTTACCATACATTTCAAAACATATGAAGCATTTACAAAAAGCATACAACAGAGATATAAAAGCTCAAGAAAGAGATAAAGAAATAAAAGATTATCAAACATGTTTTTAAGAAAGAGTAGAAAGTGAAAGACCTTGCGGAATTTGAGGGGAAATTTAGAGCCACCCCCAGAATAACCCTGCTGAAAACATACTAAGGTATGTAGTAATGATAAAAGTATCCAAAATGAAAAGAAATAGACTTGAAAAAATTTTAAGGTTGAAAAGAAAATTAAAATTCTAGAAAAAATGACCAAAATATGAATAATTAAAATTATTTTTAATTTCAGAATTAAATTAAATTAATGAATGAACTGGGTGTGGTGGCTCAGGCCTGTAATCCTAGCACTTTGAGAGGCTGAAGTGGGTAGATAACTTGAAGTCAGGAGTTCAAGGCCAGTCTTGCCAACGTGGTGAAACCCTGTCTTTACTAAAAATACAAAAAATTAGCCATGCATGGTTGCGGGCACCTGTAATTCCAGTTACTCTGGAAGCTGAGGGAGAATTGCTTGAATGGGAGAGGTAGCGGTTGCAGTGAGCCAAGATCACACCACTGCACCCCAACCTGGCAGATGGAGCAGGCCCTGTTTCAAAATATATATGTATATTGAATATATATATATATATAGATATATATATATATTTCATATATAGAGAGAGATATATATATTTCATATATATATGTGAAATATGAATATATATATAGATATATATATTTCATAGGTATATCTCATATATATGATATATATCTTTCATGTATCAGAATATTTAACAATTTAGTTTCAGAACATTTTCAGAAATAAAAGAAAATTTTATAAATGAAAAAATACATTGAAATTCAGAGGAAAAAATAGTAGTAAAATTGCTATACATAAACAGGTAAGAAAGGAGAGGAAGGGGGAAGAATGAGGAGAACTAGAAAATAAGGAAGAGGAGGAAGAAAAAATAGAGTGTGCTCCCCCTTCCTAATTCTTTTTTTTTTTTGTCTTTCTCTTTATTTTTTTTTAATTGCATTTTAGGTTTTGGAGTACATGTGCAGAACATGCAAGATAGTTGCATAGGTACACACATGGCAGTGTGTTTTGCTGCCTTCCTCCCGTTCACCCACATTTGGCATTTATCCCCAGGCTATCCCTCCCCAGCTCCCCCCACCCGCTGTTCCTCCCCTATTCCCCCCAATAGACCTCAGTGTTTAGTACTCCCTTCCCTGTGTCCATGTGTTCTCATTTTTCATCACCCGTCTATTAGTGAGAATATGCTGTTTTTCATTTTCCGTTCTTGTGTCAGTTTGCTGAGAATGATGTTCTGCAGATTCATCCATGTCCCTACAAAGGACACGAACGCATCATTTTTGATTGCTGCATAATATTCCATGGTGTATATGTGCCACATTTTCCCAGTCCAGTCTATCATCGATGGGCATTTGGGTTGGTTCCAGGTCTTTGCCATTGTAAACAGTGCTGCAATGAACATTCGTGTGCATGTGTCCTTATAGTAGAACGATTTATAGTCCCCTTCATAATTCTTTCTGTTTCTTTTTCCTAATGTCACTTTGGTCTATGGTCATACCACCCTGAATGTGCCCAATCTTGTCTGAATGTCACTTTGGTCTTATGAAATTTGATGTAACTGAATATGTTCAGATTATGGGCATTATAGAATTTTCATTCAAGAAAAAGACCTGTTTTCAAAACTTAGGAAAGAAATGGTTCAATATACAATCTGACTTAATGTCTGGATTTTTCTTTTATTTTGCAGAAAACTCAGAATCTTTTTGAATTTCAAAAACCTTGAAACTTGTTTAAAGGATGCCATTCTACTAGATTATTATGTATCTGGATTTTTGTGGGCTAGAAGAATGGATTTTTCTGTTATTCAGTATTCAAAATTTATGACTTTGTTAGCCATGTTACTTCAGAATCTTAAAAGTAAGTACATTATTTTTCTTTTTTTTTTAAGTAAAAGAAATTTACCATCTAAACTGAGGTTCTTAAGCAAAAGTTACTGATTTTATTTTAATTCCTTTCATGAAAAATTTGGGGTTTTCCTGAGTATAGCAAATATATAGTTCATGCCTTCATTGAGTTACAAAAACAAACAGTTTTCTTAATAATCGATTTGCCAAAGATATGTTAATTTCCTTTTAAAGTTGTATTGGTGCCATCACCCTCTAAATAACTTGGGACTCTGCAATATTCTTGTAATCTTTCTGTAAATCTAAAACTACACTCAAATTAAAAGTTTATCAGTAAGTATTAGCTTTCCCTAGAATAGAAGGCTAGGAAGCTATAAAAAGGAGAAAATGAGGACGCTTTCTATGTACTGTATGGGAGACAATATATAGTTATTAAATAAAGAATGGTACAGAACTGCAAAATAAAGCATGGTACAGAACTGCATGCTTTTATTTACAAAAGAGACAAAAATAATAATCTATCCATATTTTTATTTGTGTATACACAAAGAAATGCTGAAAGACACAGAAAAACTAATAATTAAAATTCCCTGGGGTGAACGGTAGTAAGAACTGGGCATGTGAGCAGCAGATATTGAAGGATGTCTTTTCATAAGATTTCTGCATTTATATTTTTGAAATGTGAATACATCACTTATGCAAAAATTAAATTTTTAAAGAGAATATGTAACAGGGACTTTCCTAAGCCTCAGAAACTTCTGAGCTGAGTATTCATACACTAGAAATAGAATAAAGGAAGGTAAAAACTTTCATGAATCTTACATCCCAAATTTGAGAAGATATTTCTTTTCTAAATTTTTCCCTTACCTTATAAGACTCAATAACATTTCTTCTAGGTGAAACTTTATATTGTTGATATTGCAAAAATGACTTTCTAAAACCTGAACAGGATCCATACAGCTTATCATAAACCACGAGAGAGAAAATACATATGTGAAACCTAACCAGAAAAAAAAAGCAAAGAATCTAGTTTTACCTTCTGGCAGAAAAAAAATTAAAATAAAAAAATTTCCTCCACACTTTTAAACTTAACAAGGTCATAGACATCATTAGGAAAGAATATAATTTTAGCCAAGGAAGGAGATAAAGTATGTTTACACTTCAGCTAGGTAGCAGTAGGGTCCTGAGCACATAGCCACCACTCCCATTCAGCAATGTCATAATAGAAAAAACCCAAAAGAGCACACTCTGGGCCTCTAGCAGCAGTGTGCTCTATCCAGCACTGGAACTGTGTTTCCTGCTAGCTCAGTCTCCAATCTGATCCTTGTCTCAAACTTGAGCTGCATATCTACCAGGCAGTCTGCAGTCAACCCATCTAGAATCAAATTGGATCAAATTGGATATGGGACAGGCCAGGCACAGTGGCTGATGCCTGTAATACCAGCACTGTGGGAGGCCAAGGCAGGCAGATCACAAGGTCAAGAGATCAAGACCATCCTGGCCAACATGGTGAAACCCCATCTCTACTGAAAATACAAAAATTAGCTGGATGTGATGGCACAGGCCTGTAGTCCCAGCTACTTGGGAAGCTAAGGCAGTAAAATAGCTTGAACCCGGGCGGCAGAGATTGCAGTGAGCCCAGATCACGCCACTGCACTCCAACCAGGCGACACAGCAAGACTGTGTCTCAAAAAAAAAAGGGAACATAGAACTTGTAGATTTATCTTAACAGTATATCTTGTGAGGTCTAGTTTTTTAGGCCTGACCAAGAATAAGCTGTAGAGCAACTTTGTCCAACCCATGTCCTGCAAGCTGCATGTGGCCCAGGTTGGCTTTGAATGTGGCCCAACACAAATTTGTAAATTTTCTTAAAACATTATTGGATTTTCCTTGCAATTTTGTTTAAGCTCATCAGCTATCATTAGTGCTAATACAGTTTATGTGTGGCCCAAGACGATTCTTCTTCTTCCGATGTGGCCCAGGGAAGCCAAAATATTGGACACCCCCGCTCTAGAGTATTGGATAGACTGAGTATTGGGCCTTTATCCAGGTCCATAGGCCTAGATGGACCTCCCTGTGTATGATATGAATGTTAGTAAGTAAGTATAGAATATTTTTTAGTTCTTATGAGTTTTCCTCTTAATAGGAATAGTAAATTCAGGTGACATTTATGTAGATTAGCTTGTGCCACAGTGCAATTGCTTTACAAATATTGTCTTATTTAATTTACATGCTACCTTATGAGAGAGATTAATGCGTCAGAGGGGTTTAGTGACTCCTTAAGGTCACACAGGGTCTACACTAGCAAGTGAGAGCCCATCCTTTTGAACACTACAACAAATGTCCTGGCCTTGGGCTAAATCTAGAAAACCACTATACACATATAATAGCACCAGGAATTCCACATACATTTCTTCTCTTTTCTTTTCTTTTTTTGAGACAGAGTCTAACTCTATCTCCTGGCCAGGCTGGAGTGCAGTAGCACAATCTCGGCTCACTGCAACCTCCACCTCTTGGGTTCAAGCAATTCTCCTGCCTCAGCCTCCCAAGTAGCTGGCATTACAGGCACATGCTACCACACCTGGCTAATTTTTGTATTTTTAGTAGAGATGGGGTTTCACCATTTTGGCCTGGCTGGTCTCAAGCTCTTGACCTCAGATGATGTGCCCTCCTCCGCCTCCCAAAGTGCTAGGATTACAGGCAGGAGCCACTGCACCTGGCCACGAATTTCTTATTCAATCCACACAACAGCACTATAATTTTGAAAATAGGTATTGCAGTATTCTCATTTTACATAGAAAGGAAATGAGGCCAGGTGCAGTGGCTCATGCCTGTAATCACAGCACTTTATGAGGCGAAGGCAGGAGGATCTTTTTGAGTCCAGGAGTTCAAGACCAGCCTGGGCAACATGGAGAAATCCCATCTCTAAAAAATAATTTAAAACTTAGCCAGGTATGGGGGTGCACAGCTGTGGTCTCAGCTACTTGGGATGCTGAAATGGGAGAATCACTTGAGCCCAGGAGGCTAAGGCTGCAATGAGCCATGATCACATCACTGCGCTCCAGTCTGGGCAACAGAGCAAGACCCTGTCTCCAAAAGTAAATAAATATAAAGAGACTCAGGTCACCCAGCTATTAATAGTAAAGGTCAGTTAGGTATCATCCTACATTTTCCAATTAAATTAAGTCTAGTAAGTTCTTTCATTAGTCTAAATTTTCAAGAATAAATTTTATTTCTAGAAACTTTTACTATTTGAGTGGCTTAGTCTTTGATATTTTAATCACATCGCTAAATGGGATTTTTAAAAGAGCAAATATTTCAGTTAGATAAATGAAATTATAACTTCTCTAATTTTTAAAGGAATTATCTACAGAAAGACATCAGACATAGAAAACAGTTTTAAAGATTCAACTATTTTCAGAAGGATATAGTCATATAAATGTATTTTTGTTTGATAAGTATAATTTTATCTAGAATTATAATCAGTTATCTGAGAACTTCTCTTTTCCCTGCATCTCTAATTAATATTATTTTATTAATAAAATGATTCAGATTTTCCATTCATTTATGAATTCCTTTTGTCCAACAGATTTTTCATTTCTGAAGCTTCTTCCACTATTATCAAAAAAAGTTTATCATGAAGAGAGAAATGTACTATAATAATTGAATTGCACTTAGAATGATATGGGAACACCCAGTTATCCAGAAATAATTCAGTATATCTGACACACATAGAAGATGATCTGGAAGGAGGCAATGGGAAATGAACCAACTGTAATTCATTAAACCAGATTTTAATTGTCATATATAGTTTTGTGCTTCTTTCTAATTCCTATAAGTAGACAAGAAGCTATACTGAACAAATTACAAGTTAGTATATATAGTGTCTTCCTAACATTTTAAATTACTTTACCTTATTAGTAATTTTGGTATTTATGGTAGAGCACTTACACCCCAATGGAAAGGCGTAGCTGTGTAATCCAGAAATACCTGGTCCAGCAATCCACCTATGTTCTCATAACTTCTTTCAATCTACACCCCCATCCCTTCCAAATCAACTCACCCCAGTGGGAAGGAGGAGCTGTGTAATCCAGAAATACCTGGTCCAGCATTCAGCCTATGTTCTCATAACTTCTTTCAATCTACACCCCCTCCCTTCCAAATCAACTGCATTACAGCAAGTGTAATGTTTACTGATGGTTTCAGAGAGAGAGAGAGAGAGATTTGGTTGGTGGGATCCACACTGAGCAGCACAATTCCCCCAGATCCCGCATTCAGGCCCCCTATTGACATTCACCTCCCCTAAGCAGCTGGTCCAGCCTGGCTTTAGTGTCTTTCAGCTCTCCACCTCCAGGATCCTAGGTTTTATGTCCGTACACTCATCACTTTTCTGCAAACATAGGACACTCTGGCCAGTCCACGTACCTGACTCTATCTTCCAGGGAAAGGGTGGATAGCATGTGTGAGGGTTGTAAATAATATTTTATCTGTTACAAGTAACATCAAGCATAATGGAACCAAACGAGAAAAGAAGATAGAAGTTTATATTATTATTACAGACACTTTAAAAGTTAAGTCCAAGGTGTTCTTTTTCAACTGGACAAATGCCACAGAAGATAGTTTCAAATGTTTGTATTCAATGGTGTGAAGCTGTGAGAGGATAGATGAGAATCACTGTGCTGGTTACTTCTAGTGGCGGCCAGGTTGTGGTCACTCTTTGTGCATTTTCATCCGCCTCTCATCGGCACCACTGGGCAGACATTTGAGAAATGGATAAGTTATAAGTCTGTATCTGTGGAAAAGAAAACAAAAAAACTTGATGTTTTACAGAAAAATCCATATTTCTGACTTCTATTGAAAATCTTCAGACCCAGATTTACACATGGAAACAATTGGCTTAAACCCAGAGTTGATTGACTCCATTCATTTACATTTTCAGCTCCAAGTTCAGCTCTGCTGTCTAGTAACTGAGCCTGCCATCTAAGTCTTCCCTTCCTCACCAGCTGTCAAACATCTTTTTTGCAATTTTCATGCTTTTATTCTAAGATTGTATATATATTTTTAAAACTCCTTTTCATTTTAAAGAAAGATTTTAAAGTAGAGTTTGACTTTTTTTTCTTTTTTTCATCCTAAAATGGAAACATTAACTCTGCAGACAATTGTGTAGCATTATAGTAATTTACAAATGTTGGGGTGGGGTCAGCTGCTATTTATTTTGTCCCGAGACAGAGTCTCACTCTGTCACCAAGGCTGCAGAGGAGTGGCACCATCCCAGCTCACTGCAACCTCCACCTCCCAGGCTCAAGCCATCCTTGTGCCTCAGCCCCCCAAAGTAGCTGGGACCTCAGGCATGTGCTACCATGCCTGGCTAATTTTTGTATTTTTTTTTTGGAAGAGACAGGGTTTCACCCTATTGCCCAAGCTGGTCTCTAACTCATGGGCTCAAGTGTTTCACCCACCTCAGCCTCCCAAAGTGCTGAGATTACAGGATTGATCTACCATTCCCAGCCAGCCACTATTCTTTTGCACAAAATGTATTAATTTATTAATAAGAAACAAGAGTTTTACAATTTATCCTTACAAATACTTAACAAAGTAAATTTTGGCACATTAAAAACATCTTGGATTATCTTATTCTGAAAACATCTATCAAAATAATACTTAAGATTTCTCTGGATTTTATTTCAGCACTACATATGTCCTTAGAGGACAGCATAAAATGGCTTGGAGAAGTTATGGCTGAAATAGGACCAAATCGTTCACAAAAAAATGACGAATGGGGTATCTTTGATGTAAAACAAGCCAATGCTATCATTGATTACATAAAAATCAGGTATGGATTATTTTCAGTAACATTTATCTTTCATTTCACATCTTCTGGAAAATGTTAAATAAAAATAATTCAGCTTAGCAAATTCAGATATTTACAGAATTTATGCAGTAATTAGCCCAACCAATAATTAGGTAATTAAATCTTCTTTAAATTAGGTGTTCAAATCTTTCATCTAATAACTGAAAGTTAGAACAGAACTTTGCATTCCTGAAAAAAGGTTTGCATTTGATAAATATAATTTCATCTAAAATTATAATAAATTAAGAATTTCATTTTTCTTTGCATCTTTAATTAGTATTATTTATTAATAGAATGACTTAAATTAATCAGATTCAATTACAATAGACTCTATATTTTAGGTAGTTGATCTTTCCAACTACCTGATTTTACATTTTGAAGAGCAACATTCATTGCTTTTTAAATATTTATTTTAAATGCTTTGTATTAGAAATTGAAGAGATTTATGAATATACTTCCTCAAATTTATTACATGCCCTGAAATATCTTGTACTATTGACCAATTAAACTCATTAAGTCTTTCTTACTGCTTGGAAAATGATGGTGTGTGGAAGGAAAGTATTTTTATTACAGTGATTCTTCATTGGTGAACTAAGAAATTTGTCTTTTTATATAATCTGTCACAAAATCTGCAGTAGAGTCATGCATCTCTCGAAAGGGACATTTTTAGAGTTTGCAAATATTCAAACAAGAGTAGGTAAAAATCTTTTGTCAAGCCGAAAGCTTCTGCATAATATTTTTGTTCCTCTTATACACTCCAGTGTTTTTCAACTTTAAAATTTAAAGTTCTAAAATAAGAGGGCTGACTGATATCCTAGACATGTTCATGATTTGCTTGGCAAGGATCCTGGTTGAAATCTAGAAAGCTTTTAAAATATTAGTATGTTTAAAACGATAAAGTTTATATATTGGTTTCTGGCATGAATTAATAATATCATATGATACAATAAGGTTTTTACCTAAAAACATTTGATATAATGTGGCATCTTAATATTAAAACATACCTCATGAGAGTTGTCTCTCAGTCAAAGCCAGAGTAGATTTCATATCAATTAGAGTAGGTAAGGTTCTTGTATTGCGGGAGAGGATGGTAATCCAGAATTGGAGGAGAGACTATTCCTCAAGGTCTTTCTACCCATCAGAGTTGGAGAATCACTGAGCAAGAAGAATTCCACTTTGCACATTGTACTAGCATCCTTCTTTTCCTTCTGTTTGAACAGTCCCAGTTTCTCTTGCAGAACACATTTTTAACAACTGAGCTCTCAGCCCAGGAGGCTTCCAATGGGCACAGGGACTGAGAGTTCACCAGGGCCACAAAACCCATGCAGGTGCTGTAATCACCTTCTAGAAGGTGAAGGATGGCAACTCTTTTCCCCTTCATCTCGACTCTCTGGGTGAATGTTCATCAGCATATTTCTTGACATTGTCCTTCAGAAAACAGTTAAGAGGAGACGTCCATGTTAGCCACCTTTAGATCCTAACAGGATAATTTCACATATTATAAATCCCTAATATTATTACTTCATTAAACAAACCAAAAAAGTTTTAGTTAAGAAGTTAGTCAAATAAAGTAAATCACAACAATTGTTGATGCTGTTAAGTCTTCATATTGTTCTCTCAAATAAATTATGCAATTTAAATATTTCTATTACAGAACTGTAAAATATCAGTAGGATATCTAGAATTGATTCTGAAGTTGTGTAAAAGAAAATATGCTTTTTTACAACACCTGTTCAGAACCCCTCAAAAGTCCACAAATGAAAGTTTGAAGGGGTCTGGAAGGAGGGGCAGCATCAGGAAGAACAGCTAATGGATGCTGGGCTTAATACCTAAGTGATAGGTTGATCTGTGCAGCAAACCACCATGCACCCATTTACCTATGTAACAAACTGCACATCCAGCACATGTACCCTCAAACTTAAAATTTGAAGGAAAAGTTTAATGACAATGAAATAATATAATATTTTTCATTTTGATGACTACAAAGCAGTTTTACAAATATGAAGGTAACCCAGATATCAAAAGTATAAGAGTGTTTGAATTTAACCTGATATTAAATTTACCCAACCACTAAAAGCCGTTTATGGAGAGCAGTTTTTAGAACATGACCCATAGCACATGAAACTTAACTGACAATCAGATGGACATTTCATTCAATGCTCTTAACACACTCTGTCATGTGTCTGTGATTTGAAAAAAACTAATACCAAATTTCCTCCCCCACATGACTATAAGTGCTGGCAAATCTAGTTGTGCAAGTCTAGTGGTACGTTTCTATGTATTATATAATGTATAGGAATATAAACACTTCTGCAGCTTTTTAGTATAAAACATCATGCAGAATATTACACAGCCAAAAAAAAGGCTGAGTTCATGTCCTTTTCAGGAATGTGGATGAAGCTGGAAACTGTCTTTCTCAAGCAAACTAACATAAGAACAGAAAACCAAACACCGCATGTTCTCACTCATAGGAGGGAGCTGAACAAGGAGAACTCCTGAACACAGATAGGGGAACGTCACACACCAGGGCCTGTCAGGGGTAGGAGGTTGGGGGAGAGATAGCATTAGGATAAATAGCTAATGCAGATGACAGGTTGATGGGTGCAGCAAACAACCATAGGATATGTATACCTGTGTAACAAAACTGCACGTTCTGCACATGTACACACACACACACACACACACACACACACACACATATATATAAAGAATTGCTGTTCTAAGTTAAACTGCATCGGGATTATGTGAGAAAGGCACTTTGGGTGACAAAAAATGAATAATAAATATAAAAATAGGGGGAAAAACATCATTTACATGTATATGGCCCAAGTACACTTTTGTCCTTGTGGATTCTACCTATTTTTGGGAATTAGGCGATAGCAATTTCAGGTGTATACCCAATATAAAAGGCATATACTCAATATAAGAAAATCAACCCTGCCCCTCTGTACACCACAGGGTATTGCACTTCGACGCATTGAGCCAGACATCTTGAATTATTTTCACTTTATCTCTCTTCAATTTAGAACTAAGACTAAATGTTTGACAAAATAATCTAGGAGGCTGAGTCAGTCAGAAGAGGTAGAAAATGCATGATCACAGCAGAAGTGTCACTTTCTTCCCATGCCCCAGCTGAAGCTAGAAAAGGCCGTCATCCTGGTCTTGCCTCGCAAGCCTGCAGCTTTGACCACCTCATCCAAATCGTGCATTTTCAATGTTAAGAAGTGAACTTCCCTCTTGGCATGGGACAACCTAATTCCTATATGCAATGAAAAGAATAAGGCTGAAAGATTATGAAATTGCAGGAAGGAAGATCTATGAATTAAGTTCTTTGTGTGACACAAGACAGAGAAAGGGAAATTTCATGCTGGTTCTCTGAGAGGAAGCCAAGCTGTTTCCAAAATACCCTATAGTCTGTGATTTTTCTACTTAAAATCAGTTATTTCCAGTGTAATATTTTTGACCTTAAGGCTTTCTCTAGGTAACCAGTGTAAGTTAGGAAGAATTTGAATTTATTTTGCTTCATTGAATTATCAAACTTCACTAATCTTGATGTATTTTTCTAGCCAACAAATCAAAGTAATGTCAAAAGCCAAGTTACTTTTCTGAATGTTGATGAGTAATTTGAATGTACAAGAGATTTTTTTTCCCCCAAAAAATAATACCATGCCACAGTCTGCACACCCATCACTTTTTAATGGATTGTGTTAGTAGTGAGATCAACTGCTAATATAACTGAGAGAGACTCAGCTGCCTAAGGATTTCTTCATTGATTTCAAATGAATTGAAACTTTGATCCATTACAACATCCAGGAGAAGCCATTATTATACATGCTCTGTGGCTACATTTTGCAAACGTTAATTTCTCAGTTATATTAAAATCAATTTTCTTAAATAGCAAAAGTCACCAGAGTGAAAGAGAAACCACTAAGACAATTTTTTGTTCTTGGGCATTTTGCTGTATTATGAGTCTATTAATTTTCCCAACCAGCAGGAAGAGAACTAGAAAAATTCAAATATTATCAGAAACAGGATATTAGAAGTCAGCCCTTCAGTAAATTTTTAACTCTTAATAATGCATTGCTCTTTAAACTTACTGGAAATACTTGTGTTAGGGACCTCCTATCTTTTGGTTCTTTATAGTTTTTATATGCTGACCACCCAGTTTTTAGGGTAAGAACAGAAGAAATAATCTTTCCTAAATTAATTTTTCCCTTTCATGTGTGACCGAATATTCTGCAGGAAACTCAGACATTTTTGAAATGGATTTTAGTTCATGCACCATCATTTTTCCGGTATTATTAGAGATTAATTTAATCTTGAAACAGTTTGAGAATGTGAGAAGTACAATTACAAATACAGAGATAGATTATATAGCTCAGTGCCATTCGTACCAGAGGAAATTAACTACTGTTTGCAGCAAAACATAGCAAATAATATGAAGTTTCATGTTATTTAGGAATGGTGCATTATTTGCTTTCAAGCTATGAAGAGTCAAGATGCCAGCTAATTTCTTCCTTATTCCTAACTTACCTACTCATTACAGATGGATTTACTGATATTATTCTAGGTACTGTGTTATATTTTCATTTCCTTAAAAAATAAAACTCTAATTTCTTAGCATTTCCAGACAATTTCTTTTGAAATAAAGGAGGTAGCTAACTCTATTTTAGTGTTTGATAGCATTCGCTTGGTCAATGTGAAGTTTCCTTTAATAAATGCTTTTACCTATTGTGTTTTTTTTTCCTGAAACTGACTTATCAGAGTGCACATTTATTTTATATTTCAGCTTATTTCAACACTACAAGCTCTATGAGTTTATGTTCTACTCTGCCAGGGAAGAAATTGTGATAGGAACTGAGGTAAGTAATTTATCTAGATGGAATCAATTAAGCAGAATCACTTAATGCATGCTGATCAGCATCTGGATCTTTAACTGCTTAAAGCAACTTCTTGTCAAGATTATTCAAGTGTTAATATAACCAATTTGTAGTTTGCAAAAAGAATAATTAGATAAAGTGATCTTTGGATTAAGAAACTAAGCTGTCTTTTGCCATTAAAAGCATTGTTAATCACGTATACTTTGTGTATTTATGGATTATTTGACAAAGTTCAGTTCGATAAGGTACGTATGTCTGCATACAAATCAAATCAGAAAAAAATGATAAACCAACTAGTAATTTGCAAAACATAATAATTATATAAGTAAATGTAATGACAACTTAATTCAGTGAAATCTCTTCTAATTTCACATTTTTTTAATTCTACTCATTGTTTAAGACCTAATTCATATCCCACTTCCTCAATGGATCAAACCTACCTTAATTGCATCATAATCTCAAACAAAGGGTTTAGACAAACTCTCTAATCAGTTCATATTATTGTATTCCAACTGATCTCTTATTGCTGAATTTGGGCTACTGTTGCACCAACAAGCATATAGATACGCACTGTATTATATGGTTTCCTAATTGTTTCCTGTGGGTTGATATAGTCAGTACAACTCAGCAGTAATTTTCTTGAGCACAAGGATATCTTCTTCTTTTCTACTACATATAGTATCATGTAGGCTACAGTAACCACTCAATTAATACTATACAAACATTTCAGTGCATAGAACAGCAGTTCTACAATGAAAGGTCTATCTAGAGACACTTTTAAATAGGCTTACTTATAATCACATATATGTAATGCCTAGAAATGAATCCTATGTAGGAAAACATTACTTTTTACTTTTTTATTTTATTTTATTTTATTTTGTATTATGTTTTAAGTTCTGGGATACATGTGTAGAACCTGCAGGTCTGTTACATAGGTATACACTTGCCATGGTGGTTTGCTGCACCCATCAACCCATCACCTACATTAGGTATTTCTTCTAATGCTATCCCTCCACCCTGCAACAGGCCCCAGTGTGTGATTTTCTCCTCCCAGTGTCCATGTGTTTTCATTGTTCAACTCATTGTTCAACACATGAGTGAGCACATGTGGTGTTTGGTTTTCTGTTCCTGTGTTAGTTTGCTGAGAATTATGGTTTCCACCTTCATCCATGTCTCTGCAAAGGACATGAACTCATCCTTTTTTGTGGCTGCATAGTATTCTAGGGTGTGCCACATTTTCTTTACCCAGTCTATCGTTGATGGGCATTTGGGTAGGTTCCAAGTCTTTGCTATTGTGATTAGTGCTGCAATAAACATGTGTGTGCATCTGTCTTTATAGTAGAATGATTTATAATCCTTTGGATATGTACCCAGTAATGGGATTGCTAAGTCAAATGGTATTTCTGGTTCTAGATCCTTGAGGAATCCCCACACTATCTTCCACAATGGTCGAATTAATTTACACTCTCACCAACAGTGTAAAAGCATTCCTATTTTTCCACATCCTCTTCAGCATCTGTTGTTTACTGACTTTTTAATAATCGCCATTCTAACTAGCATGAGATAGTATCTCATTGTGATATTTCTTTAATAACCAGTGATGGTGAGGGTTTTTTTTTTTTCATATGTTTCTTGGCCACATAAATGTCTTCTTTTGAGAAGTGTCTGTTCATATCCTTCACCCACTTTTTGATGGGGTTGTTTTTTCCTTGTAAATTTAAATTCCTTTTAGATTTTAGGAAGACATTTTAGGGAGACAAAAGGTGCCAAAAAACAAAATACTGCTTCTGTAGGTCCACAATTACTTTAGGAGGCTTTGTTGCCTCCTAGAAGTACCAGGAATGGGAATGGCCATAATCAGAAATAAACAGTGAGTAAGGGGATATTCTCGTTATCTTTGTAATTTTCCTGATATTAAGAACCACATGGAACATGCCAGCTATTCTGACTTCATGAGTATTGTTATTCTGGAATTTATAAATTCCTCGCTTCATAAACACCTCAGTCACCATTACTCACTCTTCATTTGGGTACTTGTTCTAATGCCAGCCTTTTAAAAGTGAACTGCCAGAAAACAAGGAACCCTTTTTGCTTCTGACTTTCCTAAAAATTACCTCTTTGCAGTCTTCTCATACTGTAGCTTAAATTAGGTGTCACTGACAAAATTTCACTGAAAAACGTTTCCACTTCAGAATTACATCATATCGTGTGACAGCCCTTACAATAATTATCAGTTTGGAATATAATCCTATCTCATCAGTTCAAGCAAAACTTTGGGAATATGATAGTGGCTTCAATAACAGCTTAAGTAGATATTTAGAGTGATCAAGAAAAAATTTCAGAAAGAACTCCTTTTTCCTTTGTTAATTACACAATCATGCCTTTCTTCTATATTGTAAGGATATATTTAGGTGACATTTATGCTTATGGAAAGATGAAATGGAGAAATAGACATGGATCGGCTGCTTCATTTTCCATTGTCACTTGTATTTTCCCCAAGCTGACCAGAGCAATAATAATAATAATAAAATCCTTAAGAGATGAATGCTACGTCTTCAAGAATTAGGCCACTCATGGAATTTTAAAGGATTAGTGAAAGGAGATTTTACACCACTACGTTTTATGACATTTTAGAAGTGTTTGCTAACCCTTGATACAAATACCTGCTTTTTAATTAACAGCCTTTCATGGGCAGAGGCAGAGGCCTTCCCAGTAATGTGATTATTCATGCTGATCTCAGGGCTCTAGGACCAAATAAGGGCCACAAGACAAACACATGAATGCCTGAATTTTAACTCGTAGGCAAGTATTCAACTTAGATAACACCAACGAAATTTAGTTTCTTTAATTATGGATAGATGAGAACAAAACATAAATTTCCTCTAATCATAGAAGTGTCCCTTTCATAAGTGAGAAAAGAATGATGAAATAGAATATCACCATTTGTCAACCTTTAATAAAATAATAGATCTAGGCAAGGATGATGCATGGCTCCTGACATCACAAAAAGAAAGAAGACCAGACTTCACTGGCTTTTTAATAAAATTATGTGAAACCCTATATAAATTGCTCTTTCAGTTTGAACTAGTTAGTCTTTTTGTCAGTCTTCTAACACCAACTTCTCGTTTACTGAAAATATGGAAGATAAAGGAATAAGTTAAAGATACCATAAAAGTGCAATTAGCAAATCAGGGTATAGGAGATTTTATAGGACAGAAGACATGAACTATTCAACAAGCAAATTGCAAAAAAATAAAAATACATAAAGGGCAAACCTATGATTAAAAAATGACTGAAGCAAATTAAATGTAGGTATCTTATTTGGAGCCCACTTCAAACAGACAGACAAACCAAACCACAAATACAAAACAGTTATGAGATAATTGGGGCATTTGAATATTGGCTGCATAGTTGAAGATGACTATTACTAATTCCTGGAACTTGTTAGTATATTACTTTACATGGTAAAAGGGACTTTGCAGATTTGATTAAGTTAATGAATTTGAGATGGAGAGATTATTCTAGATTACCGAAGTGGGATCAATGTAATCTCCATATAAGAAAAAGAGGAAGGCAGGAGGATCGGGGACAGAAAAAGGAAGATTTGAAGATGTCACTCTGTTGGCCTGGAAGATGGAGGAAGAGGCCACAACTTTATCAACTGTCTTGTTACCTCATATGGCAATGCCTTCTCATAGTTATTTTTAATACTTGATTATTATTGTTCATTTGTTTTAAATATGAAATTTAGAATTAAACCTGTGCATATGTGGGTTTTGATATGTGGCATATACAAATGTTTAGTAAATTGGCATTTAAAATTAGTGGGATAATTGGCTACATGTTTGTTAAAAATAAATTAGATTTTTACCTTATACCAAACTTAAAAATGAAACCAATTTATTAAGAGATTCATTTCCCATAATGGAAGACACGTTCCATAATGATGAACTATAATTTGGCCAACAATTCCACTGAGAATAACTAGAAAAATTGGACAAGATTTTTTTAAGACTTAAATGTTTGAAAGCTCAGCTAGAAAAGCTCAAAAAAGATTATAAGCCTGACATTTAGAAATGCCTTCTACCTATAGGTGGCTACTAGTTTGGAAAAGGTGGCTAAGAAACTTAGAAACTGAGAAGTCAAGTTTTGGTAGATGCATGGAGCTAGGAGAACAAAAATTGGAGAGGCAAGAGAATATAGCAAATTTTACAAGTAGCATGTTGTGTCTACACAGGACCACATTTTAGGAGATCAGCCCTAACTAACGTGGACTTAACTTCAATTCCAAATTTTCTCCATTTTTGGCAGATTTAGGTTAGCTGAGTATAGTGTTGTTAACTTCCTCTGTAAAATAAAATCATGCCACACTCTAGATTGTATCAACAGTTTTTCATAACCAATGTCTGTCACATAATAAAATTCACACAGAAAACAAAAATAGATCACAACTGTTCCAGATGATGGAGTAATAGTCATGTACTTGAAAATAATTATCCTTAAGAAATAAAAAATATTCTTGAAAATATAACATAAATTTCAGCAGATAACAGAAAATGATTACAACATTAAATAGAAGTTCTGAAATAGAAAACCACAATAAAAATTTTAAAACAAGTGAATATGTTTAACAAGTTAGTTCATAGCTGAAGAGAAAAATTGGTAAACTGGAAGATAAATCCAAAGAAAAAATCTAAAATAAAGCATGGAGATGCAAAAGTATGTAAACAGAGAAACTGGGTAAGAGAGTATGCATATAGTAAAAGGTATGATGGAGAGAACAAAAGTCAATTCTAGAATGAGAATATAAAAGTGACATATGAAGAGTTAATTTTCCAGAACTAACCAACAGCATTAGGAAACAGATTTAGAATTTACTTGAACCCTAGATACATGTAAATCCACACCTAAGCATAGTATAGTAAAATTTCTAAAAATGAAAGATGAAGACAAACTTAAAACCAACCATAGAAAACAAGACATATATCCTTGAAGGAGGTAACAATAAGACTGACAGCTGACTTAACAATCACAATGACAGCCAGAGGACTATGAAGTAATTTCAAATTGTCCTAAATAAATAACTGCCAATCTAGAACTTCATACTAAGAAAAAACAGTTTCTGTGATAAAATGAGAAAAGGCAAACAGGGCAACAGAAACATGGGCAAAGAATATGAACAGAAAAATGAAGATTTTAATAGAGAGATTTCTAGATATAAAAAACAAGAAAATTGGCCAAGCGCAGTGGCTCACGCCTGTAATCCCAGCACTTTGGGAGGCCAAGGTGGGTGAATCATGAGGTCAAAAGATCAAGACCATCCTGGTCAACATGGTGAAACCCTGTCTCTACTAAAAATACAAAAATACCTAGGCATGGTGGCACACGCCTGTGGTCCCAGCTACTTGGGAGACTAAGGCAGGAGAATCGCTTGAACCCAGGAGGCAGAGGTTGCAGTGATCCGAGATCGCACCATTGCACTCCAGCCTAGGCGACAAGAACAACACTTCATCTCAAAAAAAAGAAAAAGAAAATTTATTACAAACAGAAACACACTAAAGGAAGTACTAACAGATGCTCTCCAGGCATAAAGAAAATGATTCCAAATGGAAAGTGAGAGAAATAGAAAGGAATGAAGAGCAAGTGAAATGGACAGATTAGGATGGATGGATAGATAGATAGATAGATAGATAGATCTAATTGAATATCAGATGCATTACACAAAATATTTTGTGAGGTTTAAAATTCACAATGACAATAGCATGTAAGTTGACAGAAATGTAAGTGACTTCGTTTTCTAAGCCTCTTCCATTGTTTGAGGCAAGTAAAAGTACTCATTTATAAATATTTAATAAGCCAAGGATGCATAGTGCATCCTTGGAGTAAGCATTGATAAATGATAAATGATAAGCTAAGAGAGGAGGAAGATGGAACAATAAAATCAGTTAAAGTAATAAATTAAAAATGCAAAACTATAGTAATAAATATGAAGGGAAATATTTTTAATTGTGGAATTAGCCCTATAAATTTTTTAAAGATTTGATTTAAAATACCATGAATAAAAGATTTTTAAGTCACTGGGAGAAAACATTTGAAAATTAACATATGAAGGTCAAATTGTTTTATTTTGTTTTGTTTTTTATCTTTTTAGAGATGGGGTCTCATTCTGTTGTTCAGGCTGGAAAGCAGTGGTGTGATCATAGCTCACTGCAGCTTTGAACTCCTGGGCTCAAGTAATCCTTCCACCCAGCCTCCCATGTAGCTGGGACTATGGACACACAACATCATACCCTGCTAATTCTTTATTTTATTTTATTTTTTTATTGAGATGGGGGGGTCTCACTTTTTACCCAAGCTGATCCTGAAGTCCTGGCTTCAAGTGATTCTTTGGCTTCAGCCTAAGTTTATTTGATAAAATAGGAAAAGGCAAACAAGGCAGCAAAAACATGAGCAAAGAATACCAATAAAAAGCTACCCAACCTTAATAGTTATCAAGGACCTGCAAAGAAAATATATTTCTTAAATATAAGATTGGCTAATAGTAAAAGATAGATTAATGCCTTGTTAATGAGGATGCAAGAAAACTTAGCTGTATTTCGTTGGTGTGAGGTTAAATTTGTAAAGCCACTGTGGAGAGCAGATTGGCAAAATCTATAAAGTGTTTGTGAATGTGAATATCTTTCTTCCCAAAATTCAAAGTATCTTCTCTGTAGACATATGTACTCATATTACATAAAGCTATTTGTACCTGAATATTCATCAAAGCATGGTTTATTATAGCTAAAAATTGCAGAAGGTAAATCAGAAGGGAAATACTTTATTTAAATGAAGTGCTCAATAAATACTTCATGTGTACATTCATTTAAATAAAATGAAGTATAGTTACACTATAAAAAACTATCAAGTCTTTAGAATGAATGTAGTAGATTCCTATGTATGGTTATGTTAATATCTCTAAAATATATTCTTAATTTAAAAAGTGTAGGAGTAGAACAATATGAATAGTGTTCCCATTTATTTTTAAAAGCAAATAAACCTGAAAATATATGGATGTGTATATGCATGTAAGTGATTGTATAAAAACCAAAAGAATTTATATTAACCATTAATGTGGCTTACCTTTTGGTAGTTGGGTAGAAATAGGAATGGAATAGGATGTGGAACGGAACATTTCATTTTGTATATCTCAGATGTAATGTGTTTTACAATGTGAATGTCTTCAAATATTATTTGTACAATAATAAAATTGTTCCCTAGTTTATTCCCGAGAAATATAATACTAAGGCACATTTTGTAAATTAAGTTCAGGCATATAAACAAGCTTATATACTAACATATTGATAGACAGAGCAACTTCATCTGGGTTTTTACAAGATGAAAGACTGCACAGGAAAAAATAGGTGAATTCTCAATCCATAAAATTAAGTACTTTGAAAGTGTGTTGCTACCATATTTAAATTTTCAATGTAAACGAGGTTTAGCTAAAAAGTCATTTACAGAGTAAAAATCTGGTGTTGTGCTATAACATCGCAAATTTTCCCAAATTTTCCCTAAGAAAATAAAATTTTTATCATGAATTATGCATTTTTATCATATTTAAAAAATATTTATTCAGCTTAATTTCACCAAAATGGCAACACATCAAATCTTAGATCATTTGTACTTTCAAAGGTTATATCATATGTATGCATTTAAACGCACATATACATATTTGTGTTTGGATATAAAAACATAGGATTATGTCTGCTTTAATAATTTCTCTAACCTACAAAGTGAGATAGATAGGTATAGCTTTATTTGTAACCATTTAAGCCAACACACTCAGTCTGTTTCAAGATTTTATTTTGCAGCACAGACATTTTCACACAAGCTCCACTGCACAGCTCCGGGGGGCACCATTCACATTACAGTCCATGTGTTTAATGGACTTGTCCATTGTACAGACTGTATGGCCATTGGTGGCCATACACTTTTTTGAAAGTGGTTCTGTAGCAGAATCTTATTATAATAAATATGATATATTTAGAAAGATATTGAAAGAAAATCATAAATATGCCTAAGTGGTTACCTTGACTAGAGTCACATTTTGGCAGCCTTTCATAATCCAAAATAATACCACTTAAAGTCAATAAATATAGGAAATTCCGACCTCTCTAAAGTCAGTGAATGTCAACTGTATATAATTTCATGTTCTGAGCACTTATTCCTACAGCAAAACCAAAATAAAACACTTTTTCCTTCCTTATTTCAAAACCCACACAGATTATGGGTGTTAATGACACTATACTTGAAAATTGTTAACCTTGTGGCAGAAAATAACCATATAAAAACATAAATTTTATTTTCTTTCTTTAAACTGTACGTTTAGAGTGTCCTGAATAAACAAAATATGAGACTTATGTAAACATTCACCCTTTTAAGAAAAAAAAAGGACCAAAACAGCATTGCACATTGGATAATATTTTGGAAAGGAGGAAGGCAACTGAAGCATAGCTGTAAAGATACCTTTTTTCTTTTCAGTTTACCCTTGAGATGTGCCTATCAAAATAATCTAAACTTATCCAGATGATGTTTTTAATCTTGAAAAAGGCTTTTTTTCTCGTTGGATGATCCTATTAGCAAACTGCTGGAAGGGAAAATCATACAGGCCATAATTTGTAGTTTGACCTACTCACATTGGGTGTTGCTAAAGAAAATCAATCAGAAATTGCTGTGTTAAAATAACTCTATCTGCTCTACCTGGCATGTGTGACTAACTGACTTTAGAATCTATCATTTAAAGAAAATGGTTGATGCTTGGATATACAATTTATCAAACTTCACTCCAGTCCTTCTTCTCTGAAGCACAGAAAAATAATAATCCCTCTCTAAATATAAATCTTTTAAGAGAAATTCAAGGAATCTGTCTCCAGCAAAATAATTGATAAATGGTAGGAGCATAATTTAAAGGTGATTTCCATCACAGATCACATGGCATCTCAATTCCTGAGTATGTCACCCAAGTCTTTTCATCTGTTGGTCCGTGAGCATCAATCTCAGTTCCTCTGTGACCAGTTCTCTGATCGAGCTAGGTTGGTCTTTTCACAATTACAGCTTTTGATTTCCCTCTGTCTTGTAGTATGAGGCTGTTGCTACTGCCTGAAAAGTTCTCCAACATTTTGCTGCCAACCCAGGCCTACTATTATCCCTTCACAGCTTCATTGACAGACACTTCTCTTACAGAAAAAAAAAAAAAAGTGAGGGAAGAAAGAAGGAATAAAAAGTGCTTTCTCTTACATTACCTTTTACTTTTTTATTTCCCCAACATTAAATCCTTGTTCAAAATACTGTCCTCGTACAATCTCCTAGAAATTGACTTCTAATTATGAAGTGATATCTCAAGCAATAGATTGCTATCTATAATTCCATGAGATCTGGGTAACTGACATTACTGTTTCCTTGTTTTTCTAAGTATGGAAGTTACATACATTCACCTAGTGTTCAATGGTTGTTTACTAAATCAATTAATGTAAAGGAGGAAAGTTTTGTTTTATTGATTAATTCCACAAAATTATATTTGGAAAATGTTATTTTGGTGTGTAGACTGTAAAACATAAATCAATCTCTTAAATTATTAATCATTAAGCTCATGACCAGGAAATTAAAAGCTGGCAATAAGATAACATATGTTTAAATTAGTTATGATTTTTATTATAGAGAAACTGCCTTATGTGGACCGCCTTGTGAAATGGCTAACTACAGCCCATTGTAAGTCAAGACTCTAAGATACCAGAGGCCACTAATATTATTGACTATATCAAAATTAAAAACTTCTATTTCGGGGAGGGAACACTATAAATGAATTTAAAAATCAAACTCTAAAAACAAAATTTCCAGTATAAATGGCAGAAAAAGCATAATAGTCTTAATATTCTATATAATCAATAAGAAAAAGGTTACCACACTTATAGGAAAATTAACAAAGCCTATTTACAAGAGACAATATATAAATAGCCAATAAACTTATGCAAAGATTTTCACCCTTTATAGTACTCAAAGATTCAATGAAAATCAAATTCTCAAAAATTAAAATAATACCATTGGCTTATGAGAATGTGATGAATGGCATTCTCATATACTGCTGGGAAGAATGCAAACTTTCCAGAAAGTGGTTTAGCCAAATATATCACATTTTTTATTTGTATTTATCTTTTGAGCTGAGGATTTTCCTTCACTGAGTTTATCCCAAGTAGGTAATCAGACAATGGGCAGAAATATGGGTGCATATATTTGATTATTATAGAAAAAAAACTGGAGTACCTAAATGTCTGTCATTAGAAGGGTGTTTAAATTTGTTATGGTGCCTCTATATAATTCCGTCATCATTATGAGTATTCATTTAGTGTTGCACTTATGATGGAAAGTTATTCACACCACGTTAATTATGTGATAACAGCAAGCTACTAAGTGTGTCCATTGTGACTCAGTTTATATTTTTACATCCACATCTGTGTGTGTGTATGTATACAGGTAGATACAAACAGAGAGAGAGAGAATAGGTCCTGAAGGACAAACATCAGATTATTAGCTGTAGTCCTGGGTTGTCAAGAAAATGTTGAAGAGCAGTTGATGTTGATAGTATACCAGATAATCTTTGCTTTCCCTTTAAACTCATCTTTATGAAATTATTTTTCTGAAATTATTTTTTGCAATCAGTGTATATTATAGCATACATACATGTTCTTGTTTTTAAAAAGTAGCAGCTTAAACTACCAAAGTTTTACTTCTTTCCCTTTTATTTTTCTTATTCAGTATTATTTCCTTTTTTTCTTGCTTACTTAACTTTTTAAAAATGCATAACATTATAAAATTGTCTGTTTTATTTTGAACAGATGCATTTCATGTTTCTGTGATTGGGCAGTGTTCATTTTCCCTAAAGCAAAAGGTTCTACTGCAAATGAAGACTTAATTATTACTTGAGGATGAGTATGTTATTATTCATGAGTTATATAAGTCGTAAAAAACTTCCAGGATGCTAACAATAGGGCCTAGAAAACCAGGACTTTAGCTGAGGGGATTTACTCTGCTGTTTATGATACTGTCTGGCCAATAGATGGCAGGACTTGGGGGGATGAATGCAGTGTAAGAAAAATCATCATGTTTCTATTCTATGATGACAAAACCTCAGAATCCATTAACAATCTACACTTCTGGTTTAAAGTGTTCTTTTCAGCCTGATGTCCAGACATAATGCCTAAGGTAAACTGTTCAGCAACCCACATTCGAAAGTGGACATTTTCTTTTCTTTTCCTTTTTTTTTTTTTTTTTTTTTTTTTGCAATGGCTCTATCTTGGCTCACTGCAACCTCCACCTTCCGGGTTCAAGTGCTTCTTCTGCCTCAGCCTCCCAAGTAGTTGGGACTACAGGCACCTGCCACTATACTGGGCTAATTTTTGTATTTTTAGTAGAGACAGGATTTCACCATATTGTCCAGGCTGTCTCAAACTCCTGATCTTGTGATCCACCCGCCTCAGCCTCCCAAAGTGCTGGGATTACAGGTGTGAGCCACTGCACCTGGCTGAAAGTGGACATTTTCAAATCAAAATGTTTTCAAAGAAAAATAACCTGGATTTTCCAGGACTGGAGGCCTCTGAAAATGAAAAGATTCAGAGTGGACATAATAGCTGCCTTCAAATCTAAAGGACTGACAAGATAAAGAAGAGATTTGTCTTGTCTGCATAACTCCCAGATGGCAAACCAAAGATCATTGGTTTTTGTTCTAGGGAGAACTTTTACTAAATAAATGCAATCACTTTCTAAATATAGAAGCATCTAGAAATGGAAGGGATGAGATGTGGGAGGGCAGAGGTTCATGCCTTCCTCAGTTTTATACTAGCAACTCTCATCTCAGCACAGGTCCTGGCAGACAGACGGCACTTTAAGTTTTATGGAATGAATTGAGAGGTAATAAGTTACATCCTCATTGAATATATTTCAAGTTTAGCAATATGGTTTTTGTTGAATGATATTTTGTGAAGTTGTTTAAAGCACTAGAAGGGAAATTGAGCTAGATGATCTATGAGTATGTGACCATCAAACCCAGATTTTTCTAGGATTTTTTTAGGACTTTCAATTTAAACTATTTTGTCCTATTTTTCCCATGAGTATACTTCCAAATGTTCTTCTCATTAGTAAGTCCAAAATTTACGATCAGCCAGTCTTACTCTGGGTAGCAATTACTAACAGAATGATGAAGTGGATTCCTTCCTATGGGCTGGAAATCATGTAGGATTGCTTACAGTTGGAGTGGATAAATGCAGTTGTTTATAACTAAAAGGTCACTTATCCTAAATATATAGCTGGTTCTATCTTGGTGAATGCAGACTTACATGTTAATAAATATACTCAAATGTAAGTCAACCAAAACTCTAGGGTGATATATTTTGATTGATTGCATTTTTAAAGGAGAAGATTTTGATCAGTTTTATAATATTGGGCCAGATACCAATATGTTTTCATAGTATTCAAGTTGGCCTATGAAGCCACTCTTTAGGTTTGGTGATGTTT